AAATAAATAAATAAATAAATAAATAAATAAATAAATAAATAAATAAATAAATAAATAAATAAATAAAAAAAATAATAATAATCCTCGTATAAAAGTGAGCGTCACCTCCAAAATAATGCCCAGGTGGTACCTGACATCCATTTTGTCCAGCCAGATAAATAATATGGGTTGTTGCAAGAACCAATCTGGGTCGGCCTGTGGGACCAGAGGTTTTTCTCTTCCGAGATTTCGGACTCGTGCCAGAACCCATCTTCAAGGAGCGTGAATTGTCTTCAAAATGATGGCTTTTTTACTAAAAGGTGACTGAGCTACTAAGATGTGTTTGGTGACTCAGCTCTGTTTTTTTAAGCGACCTGCTGATGGTCTTGAAACACAACGGAATATTCAACCAACAACGGAAGGCCCGTATCGGTTAGTAATAACTTGGTTCCGATGATTTGAGTGATCCAAGAAGGGTTGGAGGAGGGCAAATGAACAATAGGGAGGTCCCCGGTAGATCTTTGCAATCTGAGAATAGTCAAGTGATCAACTCTCCGATACAAAGATGGTGGGAGAATCACATGGGTCTGGAGGCACCTTGACCTCGACTCCCTCCTTTCAAGCATCAGCTGCTGCACCTACATTTCTCTTCTTCCTTCTCTTCCTTCCTTCTCTGACCTGGGAGGTGAGGTTGCCCCCCCACCCACTGCTGGCTTTCCGGAGAGCATGAAGACCTGGCTCTGGCAACTGGCCTGGGATCCAAGAATAAGACCTAACCCTGAGTGATGGGTGGGGGCTTAAACATGGCTTATTTTTGTACAGTTTTCTATGTACTTTATTTTTTTTTTTTTACTTCTACACCACTCAAAGTCACTTAGACAATGGGAGAGGGAGGGAGAGAGAGAGGAGGAGGGAGGGAGGGAGAGAGAGAAAGAGAGAGAGACTATTGGTTTTTTTAACCTACACCACTCAAAGCCCCTTAGACAATGAGAGAGGGAGAGGGAGAGAGAGAGGAGGAGGGAGGGAGGGAAGAAGAGAGAGAGAAAGAAAAAGAGAGAGAGAGAGAGACTATTGGTTTTTTAAACTTCTACACCTCTCAAAGTCACTTAGACAATGGGAGAGGGAGAGGAAGAGAGAGAGGAGGAGGAGGGAGGGAGGGAAGAAGAGAGAGAGAGAGAGAGAGAGAGAGAGAGAAAGACTATTGTTTTTT